AAAAAACCTGACTGACACAGAAGCACTCAAGAAAGATGAATCTAGCCGAGGTGGGCAGGATGGATTGGAAGGGACAGAAGTTGTTATCACTCTGACGATTGCTATGATGAGCCAGGAACCCAGACTAATGGGGTAGAGTCAAGAAGGTAGATAAGGAAAACAATATAAATGGCATATTGAAGCAAAAAGAAAGGGCATGTACTAAAGTGGACACTGGAGAAGAAGCATTGGCATGAGTCAAATGTGCACTGAGACATTTTTGTTGACTATGTTAAATTTGGATTTTATATGTTTATAATGGGGAGTCCACAAATTCTGCCACATTTCATACTAGTCTCCTCTTCTGAGGCAGTTTATTAATGAGTATACAGGACAACAGAGGCAAAAGAAAGCACAGAACACCTTATTAGCAGAGACTTCTGCTTGAAGTTCCAGTACAAAACTAGGAAGCTAGGATGAACCACGTGGAGAATTTTATAAGACATTAGAGGCAGCCTATATATAGCTTAGATCCAAAGCAAGTGAAACAGCTTTCTACGTTTGTTAAGTTCAGCCTGGATATAAGAAAAGCCAATTCAAGGTGTACCCAGTGCCAGGGGAAAAGTGCTGGTGGCTCCACGCATGAGTGAAGACAGGGTATTTACAATTGAGAGAAAGAAGGGTTGCAGGCAGGGAGCAGTCTTGAGCTCTCACACTTCTAGTCCAATAAAGCTGAGATGAAAGAAATTCCAGCCACGAAATCAGTGAAGGGTATTTCATTTAAAACTCTATTCCTAGAATATGTGGCCAACTTTATATCCTTGACCTTAGCCAATTTCTCTTTTCTTTGCAGGTCAAGTTTATTGTCTTGGTTCATTTAGGAATGAGCGAGGGACAAAGGTACCACCTTCTTTTCTATTATAGACCCATTAATTTAGGGCTGGTTAATGGGCTGGATAGTGGCCCCATGGATTCAAAAAGAGATGAGGAGAGTCCTTTCTGGGGTAACAGAATGTTGTATTAGGCCATGTCTATTAACAAGATGATCTAGCACACTCAAAATGAATGATTTATAAGTGAGTTGGCAGAGCTTAAAGAACATGAGAACTGTTAACTTCCTGTTGGCCACGAGGGTCAGAAGAAGAAAGTGGTTAATGGTTTTTGTATGACCACCCCCAAAGAGGGTGGTTACCTGTGATAGACTGAACATTGCGTTCCCCCTTGAAAATTCAGATATTGAATTTCAATCCCCCAACGTTGTATTTGGAGGTGGGGTCTTTGGAAAGTAATTAGAACATTAGCGTGGGGCCCTCATAAATAGGTTGTGTACCCTCATAAGGAGAAATGCAAGGAAAAAATGGTCTCTTTCCACCACAGAAGACTCAGCAAGAAGACATCTAAGCTCAAATCAGGAACCCTCACCAGGAATCAAGTTAGCTGACAGCTTGATCTCGGACTTCTCAGCTTTCAGAACTGCAAGGAAAAAACTTATGATGTCAAAGCACCCGGTGCATGATACTTTTGTTACAGTGGCTTGAGCTGACTAATAAATTATCTTTTTGGGGAGAGCAGTCTGAGGCAGATATGACTTTAGGCCATAGTCAACCCTGGTGACTTAGCAGGTCAGGTACTGGGGAAAAATATACTACAGCCTCACTCTTCTTTCACCTTTGAATCTTTGTTGATGTTCCCATTGGCTAAACCCAACAGAAAACAACACAACAAAAAGCCTGTTCATGAAATTCATGTCAGCCTACCCCGGCACAGACTAGGTTGGCAAAAAGTGGAGAAAGGATCCGAGGGAGTAATCCCAAGATTATTCCATCACAGGAAGGACTGTGACCTCAATGGGGAGTGAGCTAGTCGTTGGATTTAAGGGAAGAAATGACTACTGACTTTGTAAGAAAAGCAGCACTAGTTATAGAAACTTGAGACACAAGTTATAGACTATTGGGTCTGGAAAAATTTTAATATATTATTTACATAAGAGGCCCAGTGACAATTTCACAGGTTTCTTATCAATTCTTTAAAATAACTCTGTAAAAGAAGTATTAGTATTCTGATAGGTATGCTAGTTCAGAGACCTCAAATGGGTAATCTAAGGGCTGGGCATTTGTATTTTGTTTGGCCTATAAGATACTTTGAATATCAGCTTTTGGTTTCTTTGGGGAAAAAAAAATCAAAAGATGTATCCAACACAGGTTTGCATCCCGGCAAAGCTAGAATTGAACAGTAACTTTTAACTTCAGACTGGACGTGAACTTTGGCACAATCCCCACCACTCCCTAATGTACTGTTATATAACACCTGCCAGATTAGTTCATTTGCAGTATCTGCCGAGTATTTTAATTTGCAAGCCTGATTTACACCTTCTTTTACAGATCAATAAATTAAGGCATGAAGAAATTGGATGAGTTGTTCAAAATTCAATAGGTAGAACATGCCAAATTTGGCCCTAGAATTTAGGTCTTAGGCCTCGACATCATGATATCTATTAAATCAGAGAGGGCTATACTATAAATATTAGAGTAATCAAGGCACTAGCCACTAGCACTGGCATCAAAACAAACACATATTATCAGCAGAAGAAAAGAGTCTGAAAATAAACCCTGTACATATGTAGCCAACTAATTTTTAATAAATGTGCCAAGGTAATTCCATTAGGAAAGTAAAACTTTTCCACAAGTGGTGTTTGAGTGACTGGGATAAACACATGGGAAAAAAGGACCATATACCTCAATCTCATTATAAACATAAACGAATCCAAGATAGATCTTGAGCCTAAATGTACAAGCTAAAATTGTGAAGCTTAGAAAAGAAAGCATAGAAGCACATCTTTTTGACCTTAGACAAAACAAAGATTTCTAGGAGAGCATACAAAAAGCACTAATTATAAAATAGAACAAGTTCTTAAAATAATGGATGTACTTCTTACATAAGATTAATGTAGAGAGGGCTCAGAATGGCTAGTAATAGAGTATGAGAAAGTAGGCATTTAAGAAGGACCAAGAGAAGAATAAAAGGTGTTGGTAGAAATACTCTAAGTGGTTAGGATATTCAGAATTTTTCCCAAGGCTCCAATATCAGCCTATTTCATTTGGATCTATAAAGTTTACTTGGAAACCTTCTAAAAGCCTCTTGTTTTAGTAGGCTTCAGTGACCTAATGATTTAAATTGCCAAAGCTGTTTCTTGTTGGAATTTTGAGCCCTCTCACAGGCTTCGTTTAGAGCTCTCTGTCCATGACATGCTTTGAGGCTTACTTTCTCCCTTTCCAGTGAGTCACACCAAGTGTTTTTGGCCTTGACCATTCAAACTCCTTTAAGGCAATAGCTCCACACAGCGTTGGTTTAAAACAACCCCGTGTTTCTGATGCAGTGGACTCAGGACTCAGAAACATCCACAGTCCTTTCTCAATTTACAAGGTACTAAAAGGGTGAGTACAAAGTTGTATGAAGTTCCTTTTTATTTGCCCTCACCACTTGGACACCTGCTGTGTAAGCAAGACCTTTGGTTTCAAAAGGGTGAAAGTTTCTTTTTCTTCCTCCTAAAGTGCTCACTTTAGCAAATTAGTGGTATTCTTGGTTCCTTTGTGGTAGATATCCATTGTTCTATGTCATATACAAAGTTCAGAGTAGAGTTCTTTCTTCTGCTGGGCATAGTGACACATGCCTGCAATCCCAGAAACTTGGGAGGTTGAGGTAGGAGGATTGCAAGTTCGAGGCCAGCCTCAGGAAGTTAGTGAGAACTTAGTACCTTAGCAAACCCTTCCTCAAAATAAAAGATCAAATAGGCTGGGGATATAGCTCAGTGGAAAAAATGGATTCGATCTTCAATCCCTTGTACCAAGAAAAATAGAGTCATTCTTTTTGGATTATTCTGCTTTGCTTCTGAAAAAGATAAGTAATGAAAACCTCTTCATCATTTGTTCTCCTGTTGCTCCCAAAATATACCAGTATTTTCCAATAAAGTAAATCTACCATTTTCTCTTGTCAGTCATCTCCTGTTTTCTTAAAATAGTCTGTTGCTCTCATTCTCAACTTGTTCTTACTCTCCTCTTTAGAAGTTATTATTTCTCTGTTTATTATACCCTAAAGATATTTTCCATGTCTTTTGTGCCCCAAAGATTAATAGACAGTTGAATTTGGGTGGCAAATGATAAACACCATCTAATTTCCTTTTCAAATTCATCTCCTTTTTGAATTAGTGTTTTTAAGAAGGAAACTTACCTTTGTTCCTTGAAGAAACTGGGACAGTCAATTGGGAGTTCAGCTTCTAGGTAGAAAGGCAGAATAGCATACTTGGCTGGTGCTTTCCGAACAGCCTCAGGTGCAACTCCTGTCAGATCCGCACAACACAGCTCAGAGTCAGGTTCACGTAAAATTTGTACTCTGAAAAAGAACTCAGAAGGTGCAAAACCAGCTGTAGACTGTCACCCTTGTCACACTGTAGGACATGTTGAAGAAAACATGAACTGAATAAGCAAGGACTATGGATTTAACACAATGACATATAAGTACCAGAATTTTCTATGGGACTTTTGTGTCTGTTGATGCTTGTGCCTTCTATTCCAGCCCTTCTACAAAGCTGCTATTGATGTTGTCATCTAAGTTTTCAGAAAAGTATAGGGTATCTCGGAAAATGCAGAGGACAGCTAGGAAGAGCCTAAGTAGTTTGCAAACAAAACGAGATCAATTATAGCTGCTAGAGCTGCTACCCACCCTTAGAACTTCTCCAGGCCTTACCCTTTCTCGTTAGAATCTGGTCATCCTGAGACACATTTTGGTATTCCCTAGTTTTGATAAGGTGGCACAGTTGCTTCTTTTTTAAAATTAAGTTTTAAATATGAAAATAAAATTATAACATCCCAGGCAATTTGAAAAACAGATAATGATTAGTAAGCAAAAAGTATTGTCAATGAATTTTCAACAAGTCCAGGGTATGTAACGCTGTGAGCTCTAGGCACATTTTCTCATTTTGTCATAACAACTACTGTGAATTATTATTTATCTTTGTTTTACAGGTGTGGATGAGAGTTAAATGATGTGAATAAGGTTTGCCAGTGGTGGAGTGCAGGGCTGGCATTGAGATCACCCAAACACATGTGTTCTTCTGCTCTGGCTGGATCTCCTCACAGTTTCTTAGGCTGAGAGTAAGTGAATATCCTGAACTGAGCTAAGAGTTTTATGCTGAAAGATAAGGATAATTCAACGTATAAAACCTACTTTCTAGGAGGTGCAGCAAGTATACATTTATCTTGAGAATGGGATGACAACATGAATGTGATGGTTGGGAAGATGAATTTGCCACCATCATGGAAGTTGGATATTGGTTGGTTGACAACCAATCCCTGAAGGACAAGAAAGAAGCTTGTGAATTTCTTCAGCTCATATCTACTAAGTGCAAAGAAAAAAATAATGGCTACCCCTTGGAAGGGGTGATAAATGGCAGGGATGCTGGCTAGGAGGCCATAGCTGGGATCCAGGTGTGACTCCACAGGGGTCTTAATCAAACATTTTACCACCTTGTGCAGTTTACACTTGCTTTTTGGAGGTCACTGCAATTTTCACAAGGATCATACTGCTTTGGACAATTTTGGATCCAATTTCTTTTTTTCCCAGATACATTTTCTGGCCTCAGGGTGACTGCAGGTGAAATACAGTCCCTTAGCCACTCTTTTCTTTAAATTCCCTGATCCCAGTCATCCTTTAAGCCTGTTCAGTTCACTAATTAGAACACAGGAGACTCCTTTTAGCATATGTTGAGGCCCTGAGTCCTCAGCCTGATAAGCCTTTGCAGTTGGGGGTGGAGGTGTTTGGGGAATGTTAAAGGAGGCTATTTCTATGCTGGCTGAGACCTGATATTTATCCTGCCTTGCAGATTGTAAAACAGAGCTCTTTCCTTTTGAGGTGGGCCTCCAGCAGCCTCTCTATCATTGTCTAACCACTCTTTCTGGCATCATTGTATCATATCAACCAATGCCTCTGGGATCTCAGGGCTCCAGCTGGCTGACAGCATTGCCTCCTTGTTTCTCTCCTTCCCAGGCTATAATTTGGAAGCCCCTTTTACCTGCAGAGAATGGTGGTTCATTCGTCAGCTGTCAGCCTGAAGCTATACTTTTTCTGTCTGGTTCCGTTGGTGCTTATTATTTATTGTTCTGTTTAGCTGAGTATAATATGGGAACTCTGAAATGATGCAGAGAACCAGACATGTCTTAACAAAATATCTTGGAGTTGCAGATTCCACACAGCTGTTTCCCAGTCCTGCACTGGGTAGAGCCCACCAGCCTGTGCCTGGGAGGAAACTTGAATGTTAAGCTGAAATGTCTTATAAAAGTCCGGGAAAGTATGAAGGTCAAGTTAGACTGTTGGATCCGCTTTGCTCTCCTTATGGCCTCCCTTTTCTATCTCCATAACTGCTATGTTTTACTAAGGTGGGATTAGTTATATTAAGGAAGGATCGGAGATATCTGGAGAGGAATATTTGAAGAGGGACTTGGGAAAGCAAGGTGTAGCCATTATTTTTTTCTTTGCACTTAGTATATATGAGCTGAAGAAATTCACAAGCTTCTTTCATGTCCTTCAGGGATAGGTTGTCTACCAACCAATATCCTGATAGGACAGTAAAAGTGGCTATCTGACTGAAAGGCCCTACTCATGCTTATATACCCCTACATATGGGAACAAGGGACAATGCCCTAGTTTATCAAATCTTGGAGATTAAAAATTCCCTATGTGACAATTCTTGCCCTTTAAATTATGAAGTCAGATAGTAAGATTAGCTCCCTCTAGAGGTGATCACTGGCAAATATTGTTGAGCAAAAGCGTGAGCTGGTGATATGAATCTACTAAAATTGGAGCTTTTGAAATCAAAGTTTTCATTCTCTACTTACTCTGAGGGATCCTATCTCGAATGGTGATGTTGTGACACAGGGTCATGTGAATCTTGGAGTGTTTTTGTTTTATGCACCTAAAGAATGAAGTTTATAGATGGTGGGGAGCGAGAATTCAGCAGCAGATTTATTAGGAATAGCAAATTTATTAGAAGTAAGCAAGGAACACTCCCACAGCATGGGAGGAGTCCCAAAGAGGGTACCATATAGATGGCTTTCTGTCTAGGGGTTTCTATCCTGTTTCGATGAAGACTAAGTTTTCATAGAGAGTCCCCCTTGATTGTTCCCCTTTTCAACTCAACGGAAGGTGTACAATTTTAATTTCTTATTTACCTCATGGGATGATTTGATGTGTTTCTTAACCTGAATTTATCCTGTACTTGTTCCTCAAAAGCAAAAAAATTTCTTGGGTTCAAATCAACTCTTTGGGATTGACTAATGTTAGGGTAGTCAAGGAAACCTGGGGCAACAACAGAATGTATGGGTATATAAGCATGAGTGGGGCCTTTCGGTCAGGCACTCACAAACAAACAAACAAAAAGGTTTAGCCTAGCATTTTTAATCTTGAGTAGTGGTCCTGCCTCAATGTCTGATAGGTATGAATGGAGAAAATGAGTCAGAGTTAGAGGTGTAAGGCTCATTGAAATGTAAGGTGACATGTAGAATAAGCCCATTGTAACACTTCAGGAAAAAAAAAAAGAATATTATTCATTCCCCATCAGATTCTAGTATCTGATTTCCCTTTCTCTCAATTCTTCCATATGCGAAATTTACCCTAGGAGGGTGGAATTAGGTGGATACTTTTGGGAAACATTTTATTTCATTAAATCTTCAGGGATTTTGTGCTTTTACCCTTGAGTCTTGGGCTTATTTCCAATGTACTCTTCCTCTGCCATATTATTCTAGATGTGGAAGTGCAGACACAGACTGATGAGCACTTTAATACATAAGTCTGTCCAATTTGGAAAGCTTTATTCCTTCATTCTGGAAAATAGAGGTCCAGATCCCAATACATCCATCTCAATCTGCCCAAGCAATTCAATGAACATTATCACTCCTCTCTAGCTTGCCCCAATTTCTGTTAATCACTTTGGATCCATTTTCTTCCAAATATACATTTTTGAGAAGACCACATAAATAAAACTAGTAAGGGGAAGTGGAATTTTTTGGAAAGAAAATGCTAAATATCTGACTTAAATACTGGAATATGAGCAAAGTAAACAAAGGAAGGCACTTTTGCTCTTCCTTCTAATAACATTCATGTGAATGGACACTTGGGTCTTGGTATCCCTGTCATGTCATCCTTATGAAAGTTTCACTTGTTACTTGATTTAAAATATGACTTGATTTATCAATAGAAGAAACTATAGTGGGATCGGGTTATAGACAGAAAGTCCCCTCAACTAAGTGGCTTATTTGATCTGGACCTATCTCCCCAAGGAACCCATCCCCAAATTAGCTCATTGTCACCTCCCTGGGGACTGACCCTATTGATGATCCTCTAACAGGGACATTTAATGGCTTTCATATGACCTTTTGCCTATAATGGATTTAGAGTGGATTTCTAGTGTGATATTGGGAATAAAATTCTGAAGTGGTATCTTGTCTCAGAAAGAACAAATTCCATAGTTGATACGAAATGGCTGTCATAGGCACAAGTGGGAGTAGTGAAAGCATAGATGCCAAGTATTCAGCTTTCTAGAACATTCTGTCCCTCTTTGAAGTGCCCTCTGGTACTCACTACACCTAATTCCATATCTGGATTCTTGATTCCATTGTCCCCTGAACACTTACAAGAAACTCCCTCAGTGTGTTATTAATGACTATCATCTAGATGGTGCTTACTGTGCATCACGAGGTGATCTTAGCATTTTACATGCATTTACTCTTTACCATAAACCTATGATGTCTTTTTCATTATCTACACTTAATTATTAATTGTTATTTTAATTATAAAACTGATGATATTACCTCCAATTTAAATATAAGAAAAGCGAGGAAAAGAAAGCTTAAGAAAACTGTGCAAGGTCTCAATTAACAAGCAGCAGACTAAAAATTGAATCCCAAGCATGCTAGATCTTGAGTCCTGCATGTAACCACTAGACTATACTGCCTCTCTAAGTAGTGCAATAGGTATTCTTATCTCTCCAAGAGACTCCCTTACACACACCAAAGGCCAGCCCCTTCCTTTCCTTTCCCTTTCCTTTTCCCCGTCTTTTCAGAGAGACGAAAAAAAATCATCTCAATAATTGATTTCATTTTTTTCCTATTAGAATTCCACAAACACTACTTTCTAAGGTTCATGTTGTTCTAAAGTGTCTAATAATAGGCTTATAAATTATATGAGGGTGAAAGAGGAAATAGTCTAAGAAGGATGAATTCAGAATCCTGAGTAGAGAGAGAGGAGAAGAGGAATAAGACAAAATTATCAAGGCAAAATAATTGAGAGAAATAGTGGAATATTACCACTTCTGGAATTAGAAAGTTCAGGTCATAAAATTAATTCAGCAATCAAGTATTTTGTGTCTGAGAAATCAAGTATATCAGGCATAGAGTTGAGCACTGGAGATTAAAAGGTGATTTGGGCACAATGCCTTTGTCTAAGAGTTTTACACTTTTCACAGGGCAATAAATATATAGACAACCCAAATTTTACAAGTTAGACTTCCAGTTGTAGCTTGTCTCTATCCCCTGCCTACTCTTCTCTAGGAAGGAGGAGTGACCTTTTGATTTGGAAATGCGTTGTATGTATCCTAACTCTTTGGATATTTTCTTGGCTTCTGTCTGCCTGGTAAGAGCATGTATTCTGGTGTGCTTGCTGCCTGGGTCAGGAATGGGCTTATTGGGTAGGTCTTTTCTTTGTGGACCAGGCCTATAGTTTTCCAACTCTGTCTATGGCTGTCATAGGCACAAGTGGGAGTAGTGAAAGCATAGATGCCAAGTATTCAGCTTTCTAGAACATTCTGTCTAAAATGGTATGCAAGGGGACTGCTTTGGTACAGTATTAATAAGACAATTTTTGCCACACACATAAACCACATGTTGTTCCAATCCAACTTTAAATGGTAATGAAACTAATATTTTCATTAAAGTATTATTTTTTATGTATACATATGTGTGCGTATTGATATATATGTTATATATATTCCACACGTATCTATGTATGTACATGCATATGTATAAACCTTGTGTGTTTATGTGTTTATATGTGTTCCTCACTTTCAGTTCTGTCTG